TGGCCGCGCTGGTCTTCGGGCTCCCTGCTTCTTTTTAAAATCCATCTCTGCCTCCCCAAATCATCCCTTGTTAGATTAGCGTGGAGCTGTCATTGCAGGTCTCTACCCGTCAGCGAACCGTGTGAATGATTGAGTGGGTGGTGACCAGCCGTTTCCCCAACGTAGTGGAATAGACTAGAAAGCATTATTGCTTTTGTTGCAGTTATTAAGAGCATGCTTGTGTGTTTGAGAGGTCTGGATCACGACGTCAGAGGGATTTTTTATCTTGGATTTTCAAACCAATTTCAGGCTATTGCTGTGCTCCATTCTGTTAGCGATTAGTGTTTCTTCCATATTTGACAGCCCTGTCTAGACCTCTGTTAAGCTGTCTGCTCCGTATCTGCACTTCATTTTCACTCCTCAGCCCAGCTCAGTCTGGCGTCCACGACACTTAAATGTTTCTTGTTTTGATCAACAGTGATCTCCGTCCTACCCAATCCATGGAACACTGGAAGTGTCCTCTTACTCAAATCAGCATTTGTTGGACTGGCTACTCCTTCCTTTTTGAAACATAGTAGTAAGATTTTTTTCCCTATTTCATTGCCTGCTTTTTTTCTTCTATCTAGTCTCTAAGTGTTGAGTTCCTCAGGACAGGGCCTGGGTGATCTTCTGATGCATTTCCCCTGAACAGTGTCATTTATTTCTATGATTTTTAAATATCGCCTGTATTAGGACAACTACCAGATCTGCAGCTCCATCTATCCCAGGTCTTTCCTCCAGATGTACTCTACATATCCAGTTGCTCTCTTGACATCTACTGGGTGTTACATAAACATCTCATTTAACATATTTAAAGTGGAACTCTTCATTTTTCTGCTTAAACCTCAGCCTTTCCCATCTCGGAAAATGGCACCACTGTTCAAAGGCAAAAGCTGAATGTGACTATAGCGAAGCCCCACGCTTAACACCCAGTTCACCCATGAATTCCATCAGTTATACCACCAGAATATCACTTAAATTCATCTGTTCTCCACTTGATCTGGTCTAGGCCACCATTATCTCTGGCCTGGATCTGTGTAAATCCTTCCTATTTGGGTTCCCTTATCCCTATTTTTGTCCCTCTCCGATTCGTGCTCCAACCAGCAGCAAGTATGACCCTTAAAAATTAAAATCCGGCCACAGCACTGTTTTCTGCCTAAAACCCCTCAGTGGCTTTCCGTTATGCTCAGAATAAAACACACATTTCCGCCCCTGAACCTGGCTCTGCTCCCCGTTTTAGCCTCATTTTGGGCTATTTTGTATCTTCTTTTGAACCAGTCAACCTATGGCACCCCAAGCTTTTTCTTGGTGGAAGATCTTCATGCTCTCTGCTCCCACTTGGGAATGTTCTTTTTTGTTTTTATTTTTTATTTTATTTTATTTTTTGCGAGATGGAGTCTTGCTCTGTCGCCCAGGCGGGAGTGCAGTGGCGCGATCTCGGCTCGCTGCCAGCTCCGCCTTCCGGGTTCACGCCATTCTGCCTCAGCTTCCAGAGTAGCTGGGACTACAGGCGCCCGCCACTACGCCGGGCTAATTTTTTTGCATTTTTAGTAGAGACGGGGTTTCACCGCGTTGGCCAGGATGGTCTTGATCTCCTGACCTTGTGATCCGCCCGCCTCAGCCATCCAAAGTGCTGGGATTACAGACGTAAGCCACCACGCCCGGCCTCTTTTTTGTTTTTAACTGAAAAGAGACTTCATGTGGCAAGGACAAGAAGAAAAAAAATCAGAAAGGAGGATCTTACTATGTTGCCCAGGCTGGTCTCAAACTGCTGTGCTCAAGCAGTCCTGCCTCAGCTTCTCAGGTAGCTGGGACTACAGGTGTGCACCACCACACCTGACTGGGAATATTCTTTTAATGACTGAGTCTGTTTTCTTTTTTCTTTTTTTCTTTTTTTTTTTTTTTTTTGAGATGGAGTCTTGCTCTGTTGCCCAGGCTGGAGTACGGTGGCACAGTCTTGGCTCACTGCAACCTCTGCCTCCCGGGTTCAAGGGATTCTTCTGCCTCAGCTTCCCGAGTAGCTGGAATTACGGGCATGCACCACCACGCCCCGCTAATTTTTGTATTTTTGATAGAGATGGGTTTCGCCACATTGGCCAGGCGGTCTTGTACTCCTGACCTCAGGTGATCCACCCAGCTCTGCCTCTTTCCAAAGTGCTGGGATTACAGACATGAGCTGCCACACCTGGCTGACTGAGTCCTTTTCATTCTTTAGATCTTAGTGTAAATGTCAGCTGACCACCCTATCTAAAATAGTTCTCTCCATCTCAGCACCTTATATACTTTAGAACGTTTATCATAAGCCATTTAAAAAAAATTTTTTTTTTTTTTTTTTTTTTTTTTTTGAGACAGAGTCTTGCTCTGTGGTCCAGGCTGGAGTGCAGTGGCGTGATCTCAGCTCACTGCAAACTCCGCCTCCTGGGTTCACGTCATTCCCCTGCCTCAGCCTCCTGAGTAGCTGGGACTGCAGGCACCTGCCACCACACCCGGCTAATTTTTTGTATTTTTAGTAGAGACGGGGTTTCACCGTGTTAGCCAGGATGGTCTTGATCTCCTGACCTCGTGATCCACCTGTGTTGGCCTCCCAAAGTGCTGGGATTACAGGCGTGAGCCACCGCGCCCGGCCAAAAAAAATTTTATTTATTTATATGTTTATTTTTTTGAGGCAGACTGTCACTCTGTTACCCAGGCTGGAGTGCAGTGGCGCAATCTCGGCTCGCTGCAGCCTCCATCTTCTGGGTTCAAGCGATTCTCCTGCCTCAGTCTCAAGTAGCCGGGATTACAGGCGCCTGCCACCACGCCCGGCTAATTTTTGTATTTTTCGTAGAGAGGGGGTTTCACCATGTTGGCCAGGCTGGCCTCCAACTCCTGACCTCGTGATCCACCCATCTCAGCCTCCCAAAGTGCTGGGATTGCAGGTGTGAGCCACTGCGCCTGGCCACAAGCCATTCTTCAACTCAACCTGTTTGTGGCCTATCTCCACCCTAGAATGTGAATTCTGCCAGGGCAGGGACCATGCTTATGCCCTCTTTTCTCTGTTTAATAGAGTGCCTGGCACATAGGTGTGGATGTTAAAGTGTTTGTTAAATGCACATGTGTCTGATGACTGAACTTGTCTGCTCTGATGCATAGTTGGCTGAGAAAATACAGGAAACTGCTGGGCAGAGCTCCTGTGGATTCAGGTTTTCAGACCAAGCAGGGTCCATGGGGACACCTGTTCACTTGGTAAATCTCCTTGCTGGCTTGGTCAGCTCCCTTCCTGCTTTCTTGTGTCTGCTCTTCTAAACCTCTGCTGCTTGAAGTCCTCATTTCCTGGTTTCTAGTATTATCTTTTTCCTTCTTTCATTTTTCACACACTACCACGATGTTCTTTTTTGTTGTTGTTGTTGTTTGTTTTTTGTTTTTAGATAGGGTCTTGCCCTGTTGCCCAGGCTAGAGTGCAGTGGTGCAATCATGGCTCACTGCAGCCTTGACCTTCCAGGCTCAAGTGATCCTCCCATCTCCCAAGTAGCTGGGACTGCAGGCACGTGCCACTGCACCTGGCTAATTTTTTGTATTTTTGGTAGAGATGGGGTGTCACTGTGTTGCCCAGGCTGTTCTCAAACTCCCAGCTCAAGCGATCCACCTAGCTTGGCCTCCCAGAGTGCTGGAATTATAGGTGTGAGCCACTGCACTGGCCAGAATATTCTTTTTCTAATACTGTTGTGATCCTACCCTCTTTTATCCATTTATTTATTCATGGTTGTTAGTTGTGAATTGTGTGCCAAGAACCATGTTAAACTTTGAAAAAATAGTGCCAAGCAAAGCAAATGATAACCTTCACTATGCCAGGGCTCCCACTGTCATGGGAAGACAGGCCCAACAGAGTAACCACGTGGAGGTATAATAAATATGCATTTGGTGCTTACTTGTGTTAAGCACCTGTTTTGTGTGCTTTACACATATGAATGCAGAGTCCTCACAAAAACCCTGTTAGTAGAGGCAGTAGAGATGTGCCCTGAATGATCAGTGGTTAGTGGCAGATCAGAATCCATCCTCCACCGCTGCGGGTGAGTTTGTGTAGTCAGAAACTGATGGCCAGGCATGGTGGCTCACGCCTGTAATCCTAGTACTTTGGGAGGCCAAGGCAGGTGGATCATTTGAGGTTAGGAGTTCAAGACCAGCCTGACTAACATGGTGAAAACCTATTTCTACTAAAAATACAAAAAAATTAGCCGGGTATGGTGGTACACACCTGTAGTCCCAGTTACTTGGTAGGCTGAGGCAGGAAAATCGCTTGAACCTGGGAGGCAGGGGTTGCAGTGAGCCGAGATCACGCCACTGCACTCCAGCCTGGACAACAGAGTGAGACTCCATCTCAAAAAAACAAACAAAAAACAGCAGAAACTTACGAGGGATTTGAAAGAAAATATATGATCCTATGGAGAGTTTGGGAGACCTAGTTTCGGATGAAAGTAGTTGCTTAATTATGTTGAGCTAAAGAATGTTCCAGGTGGAGGAAACCTGGCTTTGGCAGGTTTGGAGATTTTACAAAAATTAGCCGGGCGCCTATAAGTCCAGCTACTCAGGAAGCTCAGGCAGGGAGAATTACTTGAACCCAGGAGGGGGAGGTGGCAGTGAGCTGAGATTGCACCCCTGCATTCCAGCTTGGGTGACAGAGTAAGACTCTGTCTCAAAAAACAAAACGAAACAAAATGGAAGGTTCTGAGTTGGGAGTACAGAGCAGAGGAGGGCAGGCAGCTGGAGAAGGAGGCTGGCCAGCATGGAGGCCTCCCTCCGGCTCCATTTAAGATTTTGGGTTTTTCCTACCACTCTTACGAAAAACTCAAAATCCTAAACAGAGGCACTGAGCAGAGTGTGGAGAGTGGATGTGAGGGGAGCGAAGGGCAGGAGGAGCCCTGTCAGTGCAGAAGCAAAAGGGGAGGTGGTGGGGCCAGAATGGGGGTGACTACGGAGAGGAACCCCTGGGTTTCTGGGCAGGTGGGTTGGGGGGTATCTGGAGTTCAGTGTGGATGCATTCAGTGTGAATCTTGGTGAAGACATCCAAGCAATGTTTGAAGAAGGCAGCTGGACGTGTGGGTTTGGGCTCAGATGGCAGGTCCAACCTGCGGAGGTAAGAAGACAAATGAGGCCCGGTGTCCTGGGAGCGGGCAAGCCGGCTGGGCTGAGGGTCACTGGAGAGAAGGGCCACCTCTGCAGCTCAGCTTCCAGGCTGCCATCTCCTCCATGTTCCCTTCTTTCTGGGCCAGCTCTTCAGGTCCTGAACACCCCCAGGATCCTCACACTCCGTAGACGGCCATGCTGCTGTTTCCTCTCCCTTCCTCCCAGATCCGACAAACACCCTTTATCCTTCAAGAGCTAATGAAAGTGACTCCCCTTGGGGACGGCTTCCCAGCCTTTCCCCCTCTTCGTGCTACCATGGTGCCTGAAATCTTGCCTCTCCCCAGCACACCGCACGCTTTGGCCATGTTTAGATCATGCTCATTTTCCTGAAAAGATGTGTCCAGTCTCTGCTAGCTGCCTTCATGTTCCCTTCATCTGTCTGGTGAGCCTTTGCGTTTTCCAGGCTTAGCTTTGACATTACCTATGCATGTGTTAATCAGATATTTACTGGGCACCGGGGTCGGGCACTGAACAGAAGGCTGGAATTACACTAATGCTGCTCACAGTTCGCTAAGGGACACGATCACACTAATGGAGCTGCACGGAGGCCCCAGGAATGGAGGGGCTCTGAAAAAGAGTTTGCATGGGGACAGTCGGGGGTGGGCATTCCAGGCAGATGGAAATGCAAAATTGAAGAGCTGGAAAGACACACAGGGGCTTCAAAGTGTCGTTTGTGGCTGGGCGCGGTGGCGCATGCCTGTGATCCCCGTGCTTTGGGAGGCTAAGGCAGGAGGATTGCTGGAGGCCAGGAGTTTGAGACCAGCCTGGGCAACAGAGAGAAACCCTGTCTCTACAAATTTTTTTTTTTTTTTTTTTTTTTTTGAGACGGAGTCTCGCTCAAAGCCGCCATACCGGCTTGTTTTGTTTTGTTTTGTTTTGTTTTGTTTTGTTTAAGTGTCATTTGCTGAGAAGGAATACCAATGAGCCACAGCGTTGGGGAAGATCTTGGGTTAAGTATGGAAGTAAAGTGTTTGGAGACATTTGAATGTACTCGCCCAGGCTGGAGTGCAGTGGCACGATCTCTGCTTACTGCAAGCTCCGCCTCTTGGGTTCACGCCATTCTCCTCCCTCAGCCTCCCGAGTAGCTGGGACTACAGGCGCCCGCCACCACGCCCGGCTCATTTTTTGTATTTTTAGTAGAGATGGGGTTTCACCATGTTAGCCAGGATGGTCTCGATCTCGTGACCTCGTGATCCGCCCGCCTCAGCCTCCCAAAGTGCTGGGTACAGGCTTGAGCCACCGCGCCTGGCCTTTTGTTTTTTCTAAGTGTCGTTTGCTGAGAAGGAATACAGATGAGCCAGCGTTGGGGAGGATCTTGGGTTAAGTATGGAAGTGAGTGTTTGGGGACATTTGAATGTACTCTGCAGCCAGCTGTGAATGCAGCCCCAGAGTTGAGGAGAGAGCTGGTCAGGATGGGTTTGGGGCTCGTTGGCTCATGGTTGGCAGCTTGGGCATGGGATGAAGGAATGTGCATGGCGGGGGCTGCATGGGAAGAAGAGAGGCTGAGGGTGGAATGCTTGGGACACTGACATTTAAGGGGTGACAGAGGAGCTGGGGCTCCGGGAGGCTGAGGGGGGCAGAGGAAGGATGATGACTAATCCGTAACTGTTTCCTGAGTTCTCTGCTCAAAGGATGGAAACCTCAGCATTTTGTCTCTGCTTTTCCTACCCCTGAGGTTCCCTTTTCTTCTCTGTGTCAGGGGTCTTCCTGCTGGAGTCTGTCAGCTTATGGCACCTTGTGGAGGGGGTGCCTTGTGGAGTGAGCCACTGTGCTGCCCTGGTTGTTTGCAGACAGTGTGCCCTGGGGGCCTTCCACTTCCAAAACAGGTTTTCGTTATAGGAAGTAGGAGGAAACACGGAGACCTGTCTATCCACCCAAATACCAGGGACAACCGGGGAGCCCACAGCAGTGCTCGCGCTACCCGTCTCAGGAGGTGCTGGGCAGAGGCCAATGATAGGTGGGGCTGCCCTGGAAGGAGCAAGTGCAGACTGGGCCTTGGATTCCCCTGCCCTTGTGTTGTTTCTTGCAGCTGGATCAGATCTGCATTTCTTTTGACGAAGGCAAGACCACAATGAACTTCATTGAGGCAGCGTTGTTGATCCAGGGCTCTGCCTGTGTCTACAGTAAGAAGGTGGGCCCTGCTTGATGCTGGTCTTGGCATTTCGGTGGCCAGTGGAACCGCAGTCAGTTCTTCTGGGGCAGGCGCAGTGGTCATCCCGTCTGTGACCTACCTCCCTCTCTCCTCAGGTCTCAGCCACTTCCTTGGCACCTTCCAACACCAAGAACTATTTTTAATTTTAAATCTCACAGCCAGGCAGGGAGGGTCTTGTGTGCTGTTGGGCTCTGTTGTCTTGGGGGAATGACACCTGCTGTGTGCACTTGGGCACAGTCCAGGCTGCCACACGCACCCACCTTACCGTTCCCCATCCTCTACTTGTGGGTGCTTCATTGTCAGCACCTCGAAAATCCACAGCCACCACCCTCATGGTTCTGTGGAGGAGGAGAATAGGAAGTGGGTGAAGGACTCTGTCCTGCAGGCCCCGTGGCGGCTGGAGCTGGGACAGGGCAGGGCCAGGACATGAGGAGGGACTGGGGTGATGCTGGCAGGAGTGCATGGGCGGAGGAGCAGCAGGGCTACAGGCCATCGGCAGAGTGGGTGCCAAGCACGAGGGGCCTGGCCACCAAGGGCTGTGTGAGGCACACTGTGGGCACCACACTGCTGTCAAGGTTACCCGTTGAGAAGGCCATGCTTGGCGGCTGCGTGGAACATAGCAGGCAGGGGAGAGATGTGGGTGGCCTCAGCTGGTAAAGTAATTCTCATGAGATTCGTGGTTTGATTTGAGAATTATTTTTGGAACCAAAATTGGTGGTTTCTTGTACTGGAGTTTTGGTGGTAGTGGCCAGGCCTCGTGGAGGGCACCGTTGGGAAGGCCTTGGGGGTGGGCCCCTCCTTTCTGGGTCCTCACTGCCTGCATCTGGTCACCAGGTGGAATACCTCTACTCACTCGTCTACCAGGCCCTTGATTTCATCTCTGGAAAGAGGTGAGTTCTGGAGCCACTCACTGTGCTGCCCTGCGTGTGGCCAGGGAGGCCCCCGCAGCTTCTGGGATGCCCATGGGATACTTTTGTCTCTCAGGCGGGCCAAGCAGCTATCTTCGGTGCAGGAGGACAGGGCCAGTGGGGATGCCAGCTCTGGGGCCCCCCAGGAGGCAGAGAATGAGGTGAGTTTCTTGGGCACGTGGCCCCCGCCCACTGTGTGTTTGCCTGGGCTCAGCCCCCATGAGCTCTGTCTCCCTCCAGTTCCTGTCGCTGGATGACTTCCCTGACTCCCGGACTAACGTGGATCTCAAGAACGATCAGGCGCCCAGCGTGAGTCCTGGCCTGGCCCCTCTTAGGTTGGGACGAGGTCAGCACTTTCCCTGGGGCTGTGTTGAGCTGATAGGGTGTGGTAAGGTGTCACTGCCCTGTGTGGGCTCTGTTCTCCACTGGAGTGGAAGGATGCCTGGCTCACCCACCCTCGGCCTCCATGCAGGAGGTCCTCATCATCCCCCTCCTGCCCATGGCCCTGGTGGCCCCTGATGAAGTGGAGAAGAACAACAATCCCCTGTACAGGTAGGGATCTGAGCCCAGCGACGGAGAGGGAGGCCTGCCTGGGAAGGGTCTCTACAGCAGGCGTGTTTTCGCCAGCACAGCCGTCAGGGTGAGGTCCTGGCCAGCCGGAAGGATTTCAGGATGAACACGTGCGTTCCCCACCCCAGAGGGGCTTTCATGTTGGAGCCAGAGGGCATGTCCCCCGTGGAGCCAGCAGGCGTTTCCATGCCAAGGACCCAGAAGGGTGAGGACTTGGATGCGGGGGCTTCGTGGGAAGGAAGGAAGGGAGGGTCTTCTGGGTGGACTCTTGTGGGGTGCCCTGTGCTTGCCACCTCTGGTCTTGGGAGCTCCCTCTCTCTGGGTGCCCGCTCCAGTCTAGACAGCTTGGCTGGTGCTCATCCCACCCGTCTGCTGTGCCTTGATTACAAGTTAACATGGTCTCAGTGTCAGGGACCTGGTGCCTGGCTCAGGGCCCTGCTGTGTTCCCCCAGCCCAAGGCCTGGAGTCTGCTGGACTCTGCCCTTCTGCTGGCCCCTTGGAGGGGCTTGTTGAACACCGGGCAGGGACCATCTTGGAGAGGGGCTGGGCTGACCTTGTCCAATCCCTGTCTCCCAGACGCCGGGAGGACTGAGGAGCAGCCAATGGAAGTTTCCGTGTGCAGGAGCCCTGTCCCAGCACTCGGCTTCTCCCAGGACCCAGGTGAGAAGAAAGCTCCCTGGTGGGACTGGCATGGCAGCCAAAGAGGGGACCAGGGAGGCAGCTCTCAGTGGACAGGGGCCCAAGGGGCTGCTGTCAGCTGCCAGCCTCACACCCCTTCCATGGCCCACGGGAATGAGGCCTTGCCCCGGGGAAGCAGCCACAGCCCCTGGCCTTACCTAAGCCTCAGCCCATGTTGGTTCACTGACTGCCCTCCGCCCTCCTGGGTGTCTTCTCTGGGCAGATGTGGATGGCTGCATTTAAAGAGGAGCATTTGCCAAGAAATAAAATGAACCAAACAGAGCACAGCACACTAGCATGACGAGGAGGGTGCAAGGCACCTGCTGAATCCTCTGGGTTCCGTGACTAAAGCTGAGGGAGGAAGTGGCCGTCAGGGTCCCTTTGGTGCCGTCTGGTCTCGACATTCCTTGGAGCTGATCACTCTCTTGCTCCCTGCCCAGGCACCTCTCCAGAAGGCCCGACGCCCCTGGGCGGGGGTGAGGACGAGGATGCAGAGGAGGCAGTAGACCTTCCTGAGGCCTCGGCCCCCAAGGCCACTCTGGAGCCCGAGGAGCCCAGGAGCCCGCAGCAGGTGGGACCCACATGGAGGCCTGCAGAGCCTGAGCTGTGAATTGGGCAACCCTGGCTCTGGGGCTGAGTCAGCTTGCACAAGGCGGGCAGTGCTATGGCCTTGGCCCCAGGCCATTGGTCTGGGGCAGAAGCCCGTCCGTCTTGCAGCCCGTCCTGCAGCCAGCCCTTTGGAACGCTAGCTTCCATGTTCCTCCCCTCTCTGGACAGAACTGATGATCTTCAGAGTAGTGGGCTGGCGTCCAAGGGTTTGAGCCCTGCCGAGCTCACAGCTACCTGGGATGGCCGCTGGTCGCCGAGGCACCTCTTCTGCAGTTGGGCTGGTAGGAGGGGGTGTCTGGAGGCCACTGCTGCCTCCCTCAACCCCCAGGGTCGACTGTACCCAGGCTAGAGCCAAGAAATCCTTTTTATTTATTAAAGCAGAAAATCAACCCGATGCATACAGAGGAAATGTTAATGTTTCTTCACTCTGGTTGGTCGATGACATGGATACTTGTCATATTCTATTCATTTTTCTTAGTTTTGAAGAAGAGTACCCCGTGACCACTGTTTGTTTTTTTGTTTTTTTTTTGTTTTTTTTTTGCAAGACAGAGTCTCACTCTATCGCCCAGGCTGGAGTTCTGTGGTGCGATCTTGGCTCACTACAAGCTCCGCCTCCTGGGTTCACGCCATTCCTGCCTCAGCCTCCCGAGTAGCTGGGTCTACAGTTGCCTGCCACCACGCCCGGCTGATTTTTTGTATTTTTAGTAAAGACGGGGTTTCACCATGTTAGCCAGGATGGTCTCCATCTCCTGACCTCGTGATCCACCCGCCTTGGCCTCCCAAAGTGCTGGGATTACAGGCATGAGCCACCGCGTCCGACCTACTGTTTGTGTTTTAAAGTTTTTCTTGGGGTTTTTGTTTTAATGCCCCCAGAGAGTACTACCAGGGTTTTTTTTTGTTCGTTTGTTTTTGAGACAGGGTCTTGCTGTGTTGCCCAGGGTAGAGTGCAGTGGCCTGATCGTGGCTCACTGCAGCCTTGACCCTCTCTTGGCTCAGGTGATCCTTCCACCCCAGCCTCCCGAGTAGCTGGGACTATAGGTGCGTGCCACCACGCCCAGCTAATTTTCATATTTTTTGTAGAGACGGGGTCTCACTACGTTGCCCAGGCTGGTCTGGAACTCCTTGCTCAAACGATCTGCCTGCCTTGGCCTCCCAAAGCACTGGGATTACGGGCGTGAGCCACTGTGTCTGGCCCCTGTAGGATTTTTCTTTCTTTTTTTTTTTTTTTTTAAGACAGAGTCTTGTTCTTTTGCCCAGGCTGGAGTGCAGTGGCATGATCTTGGCTCACTGCAACCTCTGCCTCCTGGGTTCAAGCGATTCTCCTGCCTCAGCCTCCTGAGTAGGTGGGATTACAGGTGTGCGCCACCACGCCCAGCTAATTTTTTTTGTATTTTTAGTAGAGGTGGGGTTTCACCGTGTTGGCCAGGCTGGTCTCAAACTCTTGACCTCAGGTGATCTGCCCACCTTGGCCTCCCAAAGCGCTTGGATTACAGGCATGAGCCACCGTGCCCGGCCCTTGTAGAGTTCTTGATGTTGACCCAAGGTGGAGTTCCTGGGGTACCCAGAGCCTTGAGTGGAGAAAGGGGAGAAGTGGAGACCCTGTGACTGTCTTTGCAGAGTGCTGCCCTGCCCAGGAGGTACATGCTGCGGGAGCGAGAGGGGGCCCCAGAGCCTGCATCCTGCATGAAGGTAGGAGCGTTGGGGCCCTGACCCTGGCAGGGAGGGACGGGCAGATTCGAGGACTGGCTGCCTGCCCATCATGCTCTTGCTCCTGCGGTGTTCTCAGCCTGTGGCCCTTTGCACTTGCTCTCTTAGAGACCCCCTCATGCGACTCTGGGCCCCCACCCTCCCTCGAGTGTTCCCCTCTGTGATCCAGGATTTGAGTGTGGTTGGCTCTGTCCCAGGCTGTCACCGCACTTGTTGCCTGGCCTGTGGGAGGGCGGCTGTGCACCCCCTACTCCTCCTTTGGGAGAGCAGCTGTGCACCCCCTACTTCTCCTTTGGGAGGGCGGCTGTGCACCCCCTACTCCTCCAGCGTCTTCTTGTGCTCTGTGCCCAGGAGACTCCAGACCCCTGGCAGAGCCTGGACCCCTTTGACTCCCTGGAGTCTAAGCCCTTCAAGAAAGGTAATTGGGTGGAAGATACCTCCACTCAGGTACTCCTGGCTGGGTCTGCTGGGGCATGAGGTAGGGGGGTGGGAGAGGGCTTTGCACCCTGATTGCCCAGCAGCTCTAAGACAGTCCCTGTTTGCCTCTAGGTAGGCCTTACTCTGTGCCCCCCTGTGTGGAGGAGGCTCCGGGACAGAAGCGCAAGAGGAAGGGTGCTGCCAAGCTGCAGGACTTCCACCAGTGGTACCTGGCTGCCTGTGAGTGGGTGTGCTACGTACTCCGGACCCCTGGGAGCTGGGAGCTGGGGGCTGGGCCAGGGCCAGTGGAGGAGGATCAACACCCTCTCCCCACTGCCGTGGGCAGCTCTTGGCCTGGTTGGTACTGACCATGTTCTCTCACAGATGCTGACCATGCTGACAGCCGGAGGCCTCGGCGAAAGGGTCCGTCCTTTGCAGGTGAGGCTGAAGTCCTCAGGGAAGACAGTTTTACTCCCCTTCCCCTACCTCTACCCCCACCTGGTGTCACCAAAGCCCTGGGTGGACTGGCACAGGGCCTGGGAAGGACAGGGGAGCCTTCACAAGGTCTTTGTCTGCAGACATGGAGGTCCTGTACTGGACACACGTGAAGGAGCAGTTGGAAACTCTCCGGAAGCTGCAGAGGAGGGAGGCAAGTCCCAACTGGTCAGCTGTGATCTAGGACCCCATGGCGGCCCTGATGGGAGATGACAGTGCCCCTCACAGATGCTGTCTCTGGACAGGTGGCTGAGCAGTGGCTGCCGAGGGCCGAGGAGGGGCTGTGGTCTGCAGAGGAGGACCACCTGGAGGATTCTCTGGAAGACCTGGGGGCAGCAGGTGGGTGCCTGCCGGTGGGGGTGGGGCAGGGCTCGGCACCTGCTGCCAGCTGACTAGCTGCCTCTGTGCTGTCCACTCTCCCACCTCCCAGCAGATGACTTTCTAGAACCTGAGGAGTATGTGGAGCCTGAGGGAGCAGACCCCAGGGAAGCTGCTGACCTTGGTAGGTGGGCAGCGGGCTAGGAGTGCTGAGGGGCCACTGGAACTGGGGACAGGGGAGAGTGTGGCCTCTCAGCTGCCCAGCTCACAGCTGCCCCTTCCCAGACACAGTGCCGGTGTCCCTGAGCTACGAGGAGCTGGTTCGAAGGAATGTGGTAGGCCTGGGTTAGAGAGGGAGAGGGAGGGGAGGGGGATAGGTGAGAGGCGCCCAGGCCCTGCTTGGGAGGCAGTACCTCCTGCTGATCCTCTCCTAGGAGCTCTTCATCGCCACCTCCCAGAAGTTTGTCCAGGAGACAGAGCTGAGCCAGCGCATCAGGGACTGGGAGGACACAGTGCAGCCACTGCTCCAGGAGCAGGTGAGGCGGGGTCGCTGGGAACCAGAGCTGTCTGCTGCAGGCCTGTCCCAGGGCTTGCCTCTCTCCACAGCCAACATTCCCCTCCCCTGTGCAGGAGCAGCATGTACCCTTTGACATCCACACCTATGGGGACCAGGTGGTCTCGCGATTCCCCCAGCTCAATGAGTGGTGTCCCTTTGCGGAGCTGGTGGCTGGCCAGCCAGCCTTCGAGGTGTGTCGTTCCATGCTGGCCTCCCTGCAGCTGGTGAGTAGCCTGGGATGCGTGGGAGGGGGAGACGGTTCCCAGACCCTGCTGATGCCCCACCCCTGCAGGCCAATGACTACACAGTGGAGATCACCCAGCAGCCTGGGCTGGAGACGGCCGTGGACACCATGTCCCTGAGACTGCTCACACACCAGCGAGCCCACAAGCGCTTCCAGACCTACACTGCCCCCTCCATGGCCCAGCCCTGAGTGGGGAGCACCAAGGCAGGGGTGGGGGATGTGTACTGAGGAGCCGTGCATCTGCTCCTGGCTGGCCCAGCCTAATAAAGCAGTGTTGCCATCTCATCTTCCCCCAAAAACCCTTTTACGTACACCTGCCCTGCGCAGAGAAGAGGGCTGCCTGACCTCCATGGGCTGCTGGTACAGATCACACACGCACAGATTAAACGCACCCTGTTTAATGACGGGGCCCAGGCTGCAGCAGCTCAAGACAGGACACTGCGGAAAGTCGCCATGTGCTGCCGCACACTGTCTGAGATCTGCTCAGCTGACCTGCTCCGGCCGTAGTAATCAGTGAAGAGGCCATCAGGGTTGAGCAGGTAGATGGTAATGGAGTGGTCCACGATGTAGTCCTGGTCCTCATCCTTGGGGCCGGCACTGTAGTACACACGGTAACTGTGAGTAGCCTGGGCAATCTGTTCGGTGGAGCCGGTCAGACCCAGCAGTCTTGGGTGGAAGTCCTGGACATAGCGGGCCATGGCTTCCACATCATCCCGCTCGGGGTCCACAGTAATGAAGACGGGCTGCACTGGAGGCAAACCAGGCTCAGCTTCCAGCTGCCGCACCACCTGCACCAGCTTCTCCAGCTCGTCTGGGCAGATGTCAGGGCAGTGAGTGAAGCCAAAGTACATCAGCACCCACTGGCCCCGGAAGTCAGCCTTGCGGCGAGCCTGGCCTTTGTGGTCCAGCAGGTGGAAGTCGCCCTGGCCCACAGCTGCCTGGCGCAGGGCTTCTATTCGCTTTTGCTGCTGCAGCCTCTCTTTCTCAGCCCTCAGGGCCAGCCAGGCACCACCAAGTCCAGCTCCAAACAGGGCTGTGATCAACAGCCTGGTTCGAAGCCCAGGGCCCTGAGGCTGGCCCTGCCTACCTGTCTCTGCAGGGCCCTGCCTTGACAAAAACCAGGACCTCAGATGCAGGGCCTGGCCTCCCACGGTCCCAGGGAGGACTGGGGGCTTGAGGTGAGAGAGCCTGTGCCAAGCGGTGGGGCTCCGAGTCAGCAGCAGCATGGATCTGATGCTCCTGGAAACAAGCACAGGTGTCAGGAGCCAGAAGGGAAGGCCCAGGACGGTGCCTGGGCTGCCCCTGCGACTGGAGAGACCAGTCACCCATCCGAAGGACCCAGCCCACGTTCAGGCTTAACAGGCGTTTGTCACTGCTCACCTGAGCTCAGAACACCTCCACCAAACATCCACACCTGTCACTCCTGTCCTCCACCTGGGATCACCAGCCTGTCGCCACACCTTGCCCTGCACCTCAGCAAGGTGAACCTCTTGCTGACTGAAAGCATTCCAAGTGCATGCCTTGCCTGGACTCCTAACCACGTTATCTATTTGCAATAAACCCATTTCTTAAAAGGAGGTGGGTAACTCTGGCTTGCAGTCCCTAGAGTAACCGATTCCTCCAGCACTTTCCTGTCACCTCAGGTCGGGCCACTTCAACCAACCGTGGCCTTCCTCCACACTCCAAGCAGAAAAGCTGCACGACCTACCCCTGCAGCTCGGACTCTGCCTGCCTGCCGTATTTAACCTTTCCTGGCAGAGACGCACGACACTTTCACCGCCACAAAACCCCACCCTCCTCACATCCAGGCTTCCCAGCAGCTCCTCCGGGCTCACAGCCGACGCTCTGCCTTTGCGTTGGTGACCTTTGCGCCTTTCCCACGGGCCCCCCGGAAGGTTTGCTAGGTGGAGGTCTCAGGACTCCTCGTCACTGCCCCCCCTCCTGCTGAGGGCACCCTCCGCCCGGGCGGTTCTGGGCTTGTCCCCTCCCCACCAAGGCCAGCGCCCTCGTGGCCAGAAAGGTCCCAGGACGACGTAAAGAGCCGCGCGAGCGCGTTAGAACTGTGCTCGGCCGCACCGAGAACACCGGTGCTTGCTGGGAGCCTCCCCCGGGCGCCCCAGCCTCGCCCCTCCCTCCAGCGCGCCCTCAGGGTGCCCCCCGCCAGCCCCGCGCAGTAGCCGGAGCTGGGAAACTACCCTGGAGTCCAGCGAGTGCCCAGGGCTACCTCCTTCCCTCTCGGCCCCGGCGTCCGCACCTCGCGGCGGGACCGCGCGTCAGTGGACCAGTCCCCCAAGAGGCAGCGCGACCTCCAGCTCCCTGCGCTCCGCCCCGCGGGCTCCTCGCGGGCTCCTCGCGGGCTCAGGTATCGTGGGCGCCACAAGCTCGCAGCCAGGGCGCAGGCGTTCCCCGGAGCTGCGCATGCGCAGACGGGCACGGCCGCTGACGCGGTCTCGGCGCTTGCGCGGAAGGCGGAGCCCACCGCAGGTCACGTGTTCGCCGAGACGGCCCCGCCCCCCACGGCCCCGATCCCTTCGCTCCCGCCCCAGCTAGCCAAGCACCGACGAAGTTTCGCGGCAAAGGAGCTTTATTGCTGCGGCGGCAGAACGAGCTCGGCGAAGGGCGAGGGGGGCGCGAAGGGCGCGCGGTCCGAGAGTACGAGCGCCTCCTGCAGGGCGCGGCGCTGCGGGCCGCTGAGCGCGGGGCCGTCCCGGTGCACGCGGAGCCAGGGTGTCCCTGCGGAGCGAGGGGCTGTCAGAGGCCGCGCGGCCGGGGCGGGGCGGGGGCGCGGGGGCAGCGGGGCGGGGGCGGCGCTCACCACGGCGCAGCCTCTGACCCACGTCGACCAGCAGTTCGGCGCCCACCCCCAGGCGGAGCGGCTCCCCAGCGCGGTTGCGCCCAGCCCCGAGCTCGTGCAGCACCAGCGCCAGCGGCAGCGCCCGGACCAGCTCCACGGTGCCTGCGGGGAGAGGGGCTGAGACGCGCGGGCTCGGGAAGGGGCGAGGGCTCGGGAAGGGAAGGGGATGGCGGAGGCGGGATGACGAGGACTCCCCCGACGCTCACCATCCGCGGGCGCCAGCAGCTCCTCCTGCTCCTGGGCGCGAGGCAGCAGCTGCCGGCGCTCTGCGGGGCTCCCGGAGCACAGGGCTCGGGCCAGACCGGGATCCACGCCCTGCGCCGCCAGCATCCGCTCGAAGCGGCCAAGGGCCGAGCCGTCGTCCAGCGCCGCAGCCACCCGGGCAGCGCCCTGGGCCTGAGTCCCCGCGTGTCCGCTGAGCCAGAGCAGGGCGCCCCCTGCGGGCGGAGACGGGGCTTAGGCGCGGCCCGGGCGGGAAGCACCCCCCGTCCGCCGCTCCCCTGCGCCCCGTCCCCCTCACCGAGCGTGGTGACCAGGTCCCTTAAGTCTGGCGGGCCTGCGCCGTCCATGCAGAGCAGCGCCTCCTCCACCTCCAGGGCATTGCCCACGCAGCGGCCCAGGGGCTTGTCCATGGCGGTCAGCGCTGCCGCGACCCGAAGCCCTAGGCTGGCTCCCACACCAACCTACGGAGACGAGGCTCAGCGCGGACCCCACATGGCGGGGCGTCCTGCAGCCGGTTCTTTGTCGAACTCCAGCCCCCGCTGCACCCTGGGTCGCCAGCCCGCCAGGATGAAGTCAGGGAAGGGTTGGGGTGGGGAACAGAAACGAGTGAAGTGCCACACCTCGCCATGGGGCCAGGAGGAACTTGTATTTGGCCTAGGAGAGGGACGCCACAGAGGGCCTCCCCAGGCCCAGGCTGGGCCAGCCTTGACCTCTAAAGTCACAGCAGGTTGGGGGGCCGTGAGGGAGGGAGGGACTTCGGGCAGAAGAGGGTGGGACTGGGGTTAGGCAGGACTGCTGAGTGGAGGGAGGCAGTGGGGACGAGAAGGGTGAAGGGTAGGCTGGGCCCCCATGAAGACGCTTCCCCAGGAAGAGGCCACACCGCTCACCAGCGTCCTTGCCAGCTCCCGGGCCTGCTCCTGGTTGGGGAAGACGGCGGCCCCTCCGAACTTAACGTCGATCACCAGAGCAGACAGCCCCTCCACGAGCTTCTTACTGAGGATGGAGGCTTTGGAGGCAGAGGAGGTTGGAGACAATGGAGAACCTGGAGCTTCTTGGGAGACTTGGGGGAGGCCGACTTTGGGGTCAGGGGCCCTGAGCCTTGAGGGTCAAGTCCCTTATGGGGGTGGCAGCACCTGGTGGGTTGTGGATCAGGCCACCCCACATGGTAGTGGTCAGGAATCTTGTGATGGGGGTAGGGGGACACACGGTCAGGTGACAGATAACTCCTAACGAGAAGACCCTGACTTGAGTTCGGAGGTCAGGGGCCTGTAACATGCAGAAGCAGGCCATGGAGTCAGGTCACCTGTGATGAGTGGCAGGCTGTCCACGGTGGCTGTCACATCTCTGGCTGCATATAGGATTCCGTCTGCAGGGACCAGCTGCTCACTCTGACCCACGATACAGCAGCCCGCCTGCTCCAGCAGCACTTGCATCTGGTCAAACATCCCCTATCCTCAGTGACTTCTGGCAAATGGCCCAGAGCCTTTTTTTTTTTTTTTTTAAGTGTGTTGCTCTGTTGCCCAGGCTGGAGTGCAGTTGGCACAATTTCGGCTCATTGAGACCTTTGCCTCCTGGGCTTGAGTGATCCTCCCACCTCAGCTTCCCAGTAGCTGGGACTACAGGTGCGTACCACTACACTGGGCTTTATTTTTTTTTTTTTCTTTTTCTTTTTTTTTTAAAGATGAAGTTTTCACTATATTACCCAGGCTGGTCTCCAACTGGGCCCAAGCAATCCTCCCTCTGCCTCCCAGAGTGCTGGGACAGGGTCTCACTCTGTTGCCCAGGCTGGAGAGCAGTGGCATCATCATGGCTCACTGCAGCCTAGACCTCCCAGACTCAAGTGATCCTCCTGCCTCAGCCTCCTGAGTTGCTGGAACCACAGATGCGCACCACCACATGCGGCTAATTTTTTTATTTTGTAGAGACGGGGTTTCGCCATATTATCCAGGCTGGTTTTGAATGCCTGGGTTCAAGGGATCTGCCCTCCTCGGCCTCCCCAACTGCTGGGACTACAGGTGTGAGCCATCGTGCCCTGCCAGCCATCTGTAATTTTGACCAACTCCCCGTTTTATGATCCTGATCAAAGTTCCACTGATGATTTTGGCTCAGGCCTATGAGTAACCTTGACCAGTGTCCTTATTAATGGCCCTAATGATCCACCAGTGATCCTTTAGTGATTCTGGCCAGGGTCTCCATCATCAACCTGGATCAATGACTGATCCGTGCCCCACCCCCGTACCTGCTCTGGGCTCTGGGTGACATTGAATCCAGGAATAGACTCCAGCTTATCCAAGGTGCCTCCTGTGTGCCCCAGACCACGTCCGCTGATCATTGGCACCTGGTGGTCAGGGATGCTGAGTACCCTGCACAGTACCCCTACCCCCACCTCCATGTATCCCTTCACCTTCCCTGGCTAGGACTTCAGTTGGATTTAGAAAGTATTTAAGCAGCTACAGGGGCACCCAGCTGGTGAGGGAATGGAAAGGAAGTTTTCTCGGTTGAGAAGTGTCAGTAGGGGAGGAGGTTCGTACCCGTCCCCCGGGGAAACAAGGCTTGGGGCAGAGGGAGAGAAGGGAAAGGGGTCTGAATTCCATTAGTGGATCTTTTTCCTGCTCCAGGGGGCCTGGTCTGGAGCCGGAGGGGCCCCAAGCTCTGTGCTGGGGAGTGCGATGGGGAAAAACCTGGGTACTGTCTTAGGGGCTTTGGGCCAAGCCTGAGGTTGGGAGCTGCCTGTGGATGGCCTGGTTGCTGCCTGTGGGGTCACAGGCTCCCATCTGGGAAGGAGGTGGTTTCTAACCTTGCAGCCACACGCCGCCAGGGCAGGTGCGAGGACCAGGCTGACCTTGTCGCCTACACCCCCTGTGGAATGCTTGTCCACAAGCTGCTGGTGCCAGGCCTCTGGCCACTCCAGCTGCTGCCCCGACTGGGCCAGGGCCTGGGTCAGCACCGAGGTCTCCTCCAGGTCCATGCCCTGAAGTCGGATCGCCATCAGCATGGCCCCTGGTATGTGGGGGTACCCGTGAGGGTGGCAGCCCACGGCAGTGGGGCACCCTGGGGCCGGGGCTGGTAGTAGGGCACTGTCGCACCCCCAGGGACCCATAGTCTCTTGGGCTGACCTCCCGGTCGGGGTCAGGAACGCCCAACCCTCCCCACGCACCGATCTGTGTGCCCTGCGCGCTCCCGTTCACCACAGCGGCCACGAAGCCCCTGATGTCCGCTTCGCTCAGGCGGCCTCCGTCTCGCTTCATGCGGATCATCTCCGGGAGCTGCTTGGGCTCTGGCGAGGGGTCGGGAAGTCCCTGGCTCCCTTCCCCGGAGAGGTCACCAGGCGCGGGTGGGGCTCCGGTTCCCACCGTCATCGAGGCCGCCATCGCTCCGGGCCTGCGGGGATGCCTGACACGTCCGGGGTCTGCGGCCTCCTGGCGTCGGTGTCTGAGCCACGTGCTCCTGTCCCGACCCCTTTCCCGTGGCTCTCCGGTGTCCGCCCCTCGGTCCCGTGTCTGTGTCGCCCTTGTCCGTATCTGGCTCCCGCTTCCCGCCCGTACCTGCTCAGGGCGGCTGCCCTCGCCCTCCTGCTCCAGATCCCAGCCCAGGTACCCGGCCTCGCCCTGGGGTCGGGACTGTAGCGTTCGCGCACAGCGGTCCACTGCGGGCGGCGGGGCGGCGGCGCCCCAGGACAGCAGACGGGTGGGGCCGCCTGGCGGGCGGGGCTCAGCAGTCACCGCCCCGGGGAAGCCTCGCGCGCCGCGCCCCTGCCGATCCCCCGGTGCCCCTGGACACGCGGGACTTCCGGGCCGTCGGGGCGCGGGGCCGTCGGCGGGAGTGATCACTGGCTAGTCCCGCGCGGCGTGGGCCTCGGGCGTCTGCGGCTCCCGAGAGTCCCCCCTCCCGCCCTCGGTGGGGTCTCGACGTTCGGACGCGGCGCAGCGCTGGAGTCCCGGCCTCGCCCGACGCTCGGGCCCCGCCCCGCTGCGTTCGGAGTTGGGACACGGCCCCAGCCCCGGCTCCGCCCCTGGCCTTGCCCCAGGACGCGCAGAGAGAGAGAGGCGGACACGATGCGGACTCGCAGACTTTAAGCAAACAAGTGTGGGGCGCTCCCGCCTGCCAGGTCAGGTGTCCGCGTGGGTCACCAGCGGGGCCAGGTAGTCCGAGTGTCGGATCCCGAAGCTCCAGCCGCGGGGCTTTCGGTGCTGCGGGCCCAGAGACACCACTGACCTTGCGGGGCCGGCGTCCTCTCCGCGCCGGGACCCCTGGACCCCCGGGGACCCTGATCCCATCACTCTGACCTCAGGCCCTCCCCACTCCCCTGACTCTGACCCTTGACCCTGGACTCCAGGCCACCTGATCCACGTTGTAGGCCGCGGGCCCTGGCTTCTGAGTGTTGTCTTGGGGGAGCGAAGTCCGCGCCAGCATGGTGAACTGGGGGGCCCGGGACTTGTAGACCCCCGGGCTCACGACGTGGTAGGCGCATGGGCCTGGGGTCTGCGGGAGGGCAGAGGGTGCTGACTACCGCCTCCGCTGCCGCGGACCAGGGACCCTGCGTCCGCCCCGGCCCCTCCCCCACCTTGCTGAGGTCCTCGAAGAAACTGCCCGCCGCTCTGCGGCCGTAGATGGAGTAAGTTGGGGCGGAGACTTTGCCGATGACGCGCGGACCCAGGAGCGAGGGCACAGTATAGGCCCCGGGACCTGGGGAGGAGGCAGGGCTCGGGGGTAGTGGGTCTCCGTGGACAGACGCAGGGTGGTCCCAGCTCCCGGAGGGCGGTCCCCGGTTTGGAGTGGGAAGGCCCACAGTGCTGGGATGGGCCTTTCCGGCCTCACCTGGGCTCTGCTGCTCCGCCTGGACACCCCAGTTTCGGGGAGCAATGGTGTGCCGAGGCGCACTGGGGTACGTCGCGTTCCCCGCTCGCTCCGGGAAGTACCTGCCTGCGGGGCGGTTCAAGGGTGTGGGGGTCTGGAACTGGGTGGGGGCCTGGTGGGTACCCGAGATGGGGTCCTGGGACTAGGGGGGAATCTGAGCCACGATTTGTCAAAGCCCCGTGGGGTTCGGGGTTTGGGATTTGAGACCCGGATATGGAGGTTCCGACTATGCGGTGTTAGGGTATCTGAGTGGGACTCAGGGTTCAGGTGGGGGGTTCCCAGGTGGGCCTCCCTGGAGGCAGTTCGGCGTTGGGTGGCCAGGGTCCCGGGGGTCCTGACCAGGTCCCGGAGTGAGGAAGGGCGCTGAGCGGCGCGGGCGGCCGTAGATGGAGTAGGCGGGGGCGCCGTCGGGGCCGCGCACGGTCATGCGGGCGGGCACCAGGTGGCCGGGCCCGGGGCCGCACGTCGTCTGCTGCGTGGGGAGGCGCGCGCCGAAGGTGAAGGCGGGGGCGCGGGGCCGCGACGGGTCATGCAGGACGTAGCCTGGGAGCATCCGAGTCAGCGTATGGCCGGGCCCAGCCCCCACCCCCGTCTGGTACACGGACCCTCCCCCGGCACAGACCCCCTCTCCCCTCTAGCAGGCTCGGTTCAGCCCCGAGCGCAGACCTCCCTGGTCTCTTCCCCTTCCCTCCCCCAGGCACCGTCCCACCCCTCAATCCCGGGGCCCGCCCCTGCTACCGGTGTTGGGCGGCAGCTTGTATTTGGGCCCGGGGCCTCCGTAGTGCGCTGCGATGGGGCCGCGGGGCCGGTGTGGCCGCCAAAGGCCCACCCAGGCGTCCGAGCCCATAGCGCGGGTGGGGGGCGCTTACGGCTCGCAGCACCTGCGGACAGAAGGCGGTGGCCGCGGCCCCTCCACCCCAAATTCTTGGGGAGCGCACTTTCCCACTACCCTGGGATTAGCGCGCGGCGGGGCGGGGCCTGGTCCGTATCCCTGGCGCCAGCAAAACAAACGCGAGCTTCCTGCCCGGCTGTGTGTGGCGTGGGGCCAGCAGCGGGTCCAGGACCATCACCCGGACTCCAGGCAGGTTAGGTAGGGACATGAGCTCGCGGGGGCCAAGTTTAGACCCAGACTTGGTGAAGGGAATCACCTGGGGGCGGGGTGGGGGCAGGACATTTTCGTGGTGTTGGGAAATGGTGCCCCGGGGAGGGCCTGGTGTGGGGGACCCGGTGCCCCAGGGGAGGCCCCGAGGTGCACTGACCTGTTGTGGTGACTCCTGTTATGGGAAAACAAAGCGACGTGGCTGGACACCCCCGCTCCGCCCCGCCCACCTCCCAGACCCCATTGTGGCCCTTTCCCGCGTCCTGGCAACCGCACTGACTGCCTACCCGCCCCAACCTGGCTCCGCCTCCCCCCTCGCCCCCACGCAGTGCGGCCGCTGGGCCTCTCCGTGGGTTCTGTGGCACGGGTGGGACAGTAGGCTGAGCCCCCCAGAACGCTGGCCTCACTCTTACCCAAGCTTCAGTATACCCATTCTAGAACTAGGCAAATCTGCAGACAAAAGCAAGGATGGGAATAAAGGAATTGAATAATGCAAAGCACACACTCCATTTAATTATGTGTAGAGAGAGAATTTCTTGTCTATTTAAGCCCATGAAATATTCGCAAAAAACAATCATGTATTGGGCCACAAAATAATCATACAAATTGAAAAACAGATATGACACATGATTTGATTACAATCAAATACAACTCTAGGCAAACAAAACGTAAAAAAAAAAAAAAAAAAAGGAAGAGGGCTGGGCCCGGTGGCTTACGCCTGTAATCCCAGCATTTTGGGAGGCCGAGGCGGGCGGATCACGAGGTCAGGAGATCGAGACCATCCTGGCTAACAAGGTGACACCTCGTCTCCACTAAAAACACAAAAAATTAGCCAGGCGTGGTGGTGGGCGCCTGTAGTCCCAGCCACTCAGGAGGTTGAGGCAGGAGAATGGCGTTAACCAGGGAGGTGGAGCTTGCAGTGAGCCAGTATGGCACCACTGCAATCCAGCCTGGGTGACAGAGAGACACTGTCTCAGAAAAAAAAAAGGAAGTGGAGGAAGAAAACTCAGCCTGGGCTGAGGCCCAGTGAGGCCTCAGTGAGGCCCATTTCAACAAAAAAACTTTAAAAATTAGCTGAGTGAGATGATGTACACCTGTAGTCCCAGCTATGGGGTCGGTGGCTGAGGTGGGAGGATCTGTTGAGTCTGGGAGTTGGATCCTGCAGTGATGTGTGATCCCACCACTAGACTCCGGCCTGGGTGACAGAGTGAGACCTTGTCTCAAAAAAAAAAAAAAAAAAGAGAACAGGAAGCAGGACCAAACACATATTTTGAAATTAACAAACCTTTTTTTTTTTTTGAGACAGAGTCTCGCTCTGTCGCCCAGGCTGGAGTGCAGTGGCGGGATCTCGGCTCACTGCAAGCTCCGCCTCCGGGTTCACGCCATTCTACTGCCTCAGCCTTCCGAGTAGCTGGGACTACAGGCGCCCGCCACCATGCCCGGCTAGTTTTTTTGTATTTTTTAGTAGAGATGGGGTTTCACTGTGTTAGCCAGGATGGTCTCGATCTCCTGACCTCGTGATCTGCCCATCTTGGCCTCCCAAAGTGCTGGGATTACAGGCTTGAGCCACCGCGCTCAGCCTGAAATTGACAAATCTTTTTTAAAAAAACGTGAATCAAAACTTGTCAGAAATAGGCCGGGCGCGGTGGCTCACGCCTGTAATCCCAGCACTTTGGGAGGCCGAGACGGGCGGATCACAAGGTCAGGAGATCGAGACCATCCTGGCTATCACGGTGAAACCCCGTCTCTACTAAAAATACAAAAAAAAAAATTAGCCGGGCGCGGTGGCGGGCGCCTGTAGTCCCAGCTACTCGGGAGGCTGAGGCAGGAGAATGGTGTGAACCCGGGAGGCGGAGCTTGCAGTGAGCTGAGATCCGGCCACTGCACTCCAGCCTGGGCGGCAGAGCGAGACTCCTTCTAAAAAAAAAAAAAACAAAAAAAAACAAAAAAAAACAAAAAAAAACAAAACTTGTCAGAAATAATCTGAAGTTACAAATTGTAGCAGGACAAGCCGCAGACAAAATTTCTCAGACACCTAGTTAAAGAAGGAAGGGGTTTATTGCAATTTTTATATTTCCTCCTTTTGATGAAGGTCTTTCTCTGAGGCCAGGTGCGGTGGCTCATGCCTGTAATCCCGGCACTTTGGGAGGCTGAGGTGGGCGGATCACCTGAGGTCAGGAGTTGGAGACCAGCCTGGCCAACATGGTGAAACCCCGTCTCTACTAAAAATACATAAATTAACTGGGCGTGGTGGCAACCATCTGTAATGCAGCTACTTGGGAAACTGAGGCAGGGGAATCACTTGAACCTGGGAAGCGGAGGTTGCAGTGAGCCAAGATTGTGCCGTTGCACTCCAGCCTGGGTGACCAAGAGAGACTCAGTCTCAAAAAAAAAAAAAAAAAATTTCTGAAGAGATCACTGATCAATTATCCTGTGTAGGTTTTGATTGTCCCTTCCTGTCCAGGTTGATTTGGTGCCATGTTGGGAGAATGGCCAGCAATTTTAAGTCAGTGTCAAAACCATTTGAGCCACATTTGAGCAGCTGGAAGGAAATTTGGAAGGAGTAGCTGTTGGGTTAAGTCGGCCTTTCGTTGTATCAGTCTCATAGGTGTTCGCTATCATATCAAAGTGCTGCACCGCATTATTGGTTAGCAGTTGTACTTTTGCGGAGGTTGGACAGGTGCAGGTTTTTTTTGTTTTTTTTTTTTTTTACTTTTTTTGAGATAGAGTCTCACTCTGTCGCCCAGGCTGGAGTGCAGTGGCACGATCTCGGCTCACTGCAAGCTCTACCTCCTGGGTTCACTCCATTCTCCTGCCTCAGCCTCCCGAGTAGCTGGGACTACAGGTGCCCGCCACCATGCCCGGCTAATTTTTGTGTGTGTGTATTTTTAGTAGAGATGAGGTTTCACTGTGTTAGCCAGGATGGTCTTGATCTCCTGACCCTGTGATCTGCCAGCCTCGGCCTCCCAAAGTGCTGGGATTACAGGAATGAGCCACCATGCCCGGCCAGGGGCAGGGTTTTCAAAGAATCATACAGAGTAAAGTAATATGATGAACTCAGTTTGCAGGATGATTTTATGTTTATTTTTATTTTATTTTATTCTATCTAGCTACCCATCTATCTATATTTTAATAGAGACACTCAGCTATTTTTATTGTTGTTGTAGAGATGAGATCTTACTTTGTTGCCCAGGCTGGTATCAAACTGACTTCAAACAATTCTCCTGCATTGGCCTCCCAAAGTTCAGGGATTACAGACGTGAGCCACTGTGGTTGTCCCTATATTTCTTAAATATAGTATAAAAATAGTATAAACTGTATGCTCTTAAATTACTTAATTTAAGTGCTTTTTTTCTTTGTGCCAATTAAATAGAGCTCTTTGTAAATTAAAATCACATAGAGATGTAAAGACATAAAAACATAGACAAAACAAAGATCTTGTGGCTTTTCACTTGAGAATTTTAGTTATAAAACAGTAGGCCAGGCACAGTGGCTCACACCTGTAATCCCAGCACTTTGGGAGGCCAAGGTAGGCGGATCACCTGAGTTCGGGAGTTCGAGACCAACCTGACCAACATGGAGAAACCCTGCCTCTGCTAAAAATACAAAAATTAGCCAGGTGTGGTGGTGCACGCCTGTAATCCCAGCTACTCAGGAGGCTGAAGCAGGAGAATTGCTTGAATCCGGGAGGCGAGGGTTGCAGTGAGCCGAGATCGCACCATTGCACTTCAGCCTGGGCAACAAGAGCAAAACTCTGTCTCAAAACAAAAACAAAAACAGTAAAACATAATAATATAAATTCATGGGTGTGTAAAAGGACAGTTGGATTTAAATTATATTTTTGATAAAACAGAACAAGTTAAGGTTACCTGTTTAGATGACTAAAGCTTTTCGATTTTCATTACCCTACCAGTAATCCTCTGAACAAGATGGGAAGACAAGACCGGGCGTGGTGGCTCACGCCTGTAATCACAGCACTTTGGGAGGCCGAGGCAGGTAGATCACTTGTGGTCAGGAGTTGGAGACCAGCCTGGCCAACATGATGAAAACCCATCTCTACTAAAAATACAAAATTAACCGAGCGTAGTGGCGGGCACCTGTAATCCCAGCTACTCGGGAGGCTGAGGCAGGAGAATTGCTTGAACCCAGGAGGTGGAGGCTGCAGTGAGCCAAGATTGCACCACTGCACTCCAGCCTGGGGAACAGAATGAGAGTCCGTCACAAACAACAAACAACTCCTCAAATGAATATAAATATTTAATTCCAGTTAGATTTCCGATGTTAAAAATAGGAAAACACAAATTTAAAGTTCATATGCAAAAATGTGTTCAATTGTCAAAAAAATTCTAAAACAGGAAAAGAATAAAAGGTTCTTAGATATTAACTGTATGCGATGGTTAATTTGATGCACCAGCTTGGCTGGGCCTTGGGCGGGGGCAGCTCTTTGCATTCCTGGCCCTTCCTTGCTCCTGAAGCCCGGCCATCGCAGCATCCTTTTTTTTTTTTTTTTTTTTTTTTTTTTTTTTTTTGAGACAGTGTCTCTCTCTGTCACCCAGGCTGGAGCGCAGTGGCCAGATCTCAGCTCACTGCAAGTTCCGCCTCCTGGGTTCACGCCATTCTCCTGCCTCAGCCTCCCAAGTAGCTGGGACTACAGGCGCCGCCACCCCACCCGGCTAGTTTTTTGTATTTTTTAGTAGAGACGGGGTTTCACCGTGTTCGCCAGGATGGTCTCGATCTCCCGACCTCGTGATCCGCCCGCCTCGGCCTCCCGGAGTGCTGGGATGACAGGCGTGAGCCACCGCGCCCACCTTGGCCTCCCAAAGTGCTGGGATGACAGGCGTGCGCCGCCGCGCCCGGCCCGCAGCATCTTTCTGCGTTTGCTGCTTCTGAATCCTTTTGCATCCTCTTTTCTTGACCTTGCTGTTAACGTCATCTTACGAGGCAACGATTCTCTGTTAATGTTTTTCCTGTTCACATTCCTAGTGTGGTTGTTCCCTTCTGATTGGAACTAACTCAGGATAGAGATTTTCCGAGGCGAAGATGAGAGAGGTGGGGTGAGTGTATCAGGCAAGAACCCACTTGGGTTTAAGGTAGAAATGGATTTATGATAGGGAATATTATAGAATCACTGGAAGCGTTGGTGGTATAATAGCTGAGAGGTGGCCTTTGGGACTACTGAGCTTAAGAAGAGACCTGGGTTGCTGTGATTCTGACATCAGGAACCTGCCGGGGATCCTGAGGCCGCACCCCTGCTGCCCAGGCCTCCCTCAGCAACGGCTGAGTCTCCACAGCCCTGCCTGCCAGCAGCATCAGCGCAGGGCAGAGGCCTCCGAGGAGTCCTTTCTGCATTTCACATCTTACACAACTGCACTGACTCCAACAGCCTCGCCCAGAACTCTGGCTGCAAAGGAATCTGTAAAACACAGTATTGCTTCATTTGTATTTTAGGTTATAAAATACCGGAAAATAAACAAAAGGAGATGAGAATGGAAGCTGAACACGATGGACCACATTCACCGCAGTGGAAAATCAAGAGTCCTGATGTGAGCACTGCAGGCTTGAGATGCCGTCTTCCACCCAGGGAGGACGTTCATGGCAGACGCAGCGGAGAGGTCCAGGTCAGAGACGCTGACCTGCCAGGCGTGCGCAAGCCGTGGGAAT